TTACAATATAATATAATATAATTATATTCATAATTATTTACTATCAGATGATATGTATAATTTCTGTTACATGCAAGAAAAGTAATACTTCATTTTATCGTTTACGTGTATGTGAATACATTCGATGTGATGGCATTCAAACGTTTCAAGAGTTATTTTGCATGCTTGAACAGTACGATTTCTCATTTCTTCAAGTTCATCGGTGACTCGAAATATATTCGCTAAAAGCTTTCTCTATAGAAATAACACTCCTATTAAATCATGCTTATGTCTCTAAATTGAGTGACCTTCAATATAATTTAAAGCCGGTATTGTCACTTCTTTACAAGCAGTATCTCCATTATTTTATATGAATTAATTGGTAAAAAGGCTTCAGATGAAACCGTACGCAAAGAATTTACAATTTCCATCGGCGTGCATTCAATATTGGGGAATTTATATATACCTGTATTCATGGAACCTGTGTATTACGCATGTGCACTGGAAATTGATACTCGAAATACGTTGGAAGTTGTATGCCTCTATAAGAGTCTTCTGTGGTAGTGATAGGAAAATCTTGAACCTTCCTATTCGCCTGTATATGCTTCATCTGCCTAGGGAAGTTGCAGGATTAAATGAGTGATACGTATTCTAACCATTATTATACTGTAACGCCCTCTTAAAAATTTAAACAATTTGTTGTGATATTTGGAATAACTACAAGAAAATTTAATTTAACATGGCGCAATTAACATGGCAATTTCAACTTGAATGGTTTATAAAAGCTGAGGACATGGTACCGGTACATGTATATAAATCTGTAAATTCCGGAATTACGGTTGCTATAGCAGATGTTGATGGACCTGTCGTATCTGGCTATTTTGGGTTTGGTAATTTCTCTTGTCATTGTATCTACAATATTTTTTTCAAATATAAAAGTCATGTTAATATATTCTTAGTTGATATTTACATATTTATATTATAGTAATACTTTGTTTAAAATGCAGCTACCGAAGCACACAGTGATGATGGATTGCCTCATACCTTGGAACACCTTATTTTTTTGGGAAGCGAAGATTATCCATACAAAGGTGTTCTAGATTTATGGGCAAATAGATGTTTGGCATCTGGTACCAATGCATCAACACTCACTGATTTCACTTTTTATACTATGACAACGGCTGGCAGTGAAGGATTTTTATCCTTAATGCCTGTATATCTTGAACACATTCTTTATCCGACACTTACGGTATAACTAATTAATTATTGGTAGTGTACAATATAAGTACATATATTAATGTAACTCATATATTAATGTATTTTAAACATTTGAATAGGATTCAGCTTATGTTACAGAAGTACATCATATAAATGGTAAAGGTGATGATGCAGGTGTTGTATACTGTGAAATGCAGGGCAAAGAAAATATAGGTGAACATTTGGTATATATTGAAATGTCTCGAGCAATGTTTCCTGGTCATTGTGGTTATAAATCTAACTTTGGAGGTAAAGTCTATTATTTATTAACACTTTGGTTTGTATAATAGAAAATTATATAAATACTTATTTCATTTAAAAAAATTATATTTCTACAGGTGCATTAGAAAATCTCAGAGAAAGTACTAATAACGAGAAAGTAAAGCAATATCATAAAGACTTCTATAGACCTGAAAATTTGACTTTAGTAATAGTTGGCCAAATAAAACATGCTGATGTGTTCAAAGCTTTACAACCTTTAGAACAAAAAATTATATCAAAAGTATGTAAACAAAATTAATTATATCTTAATTTATTATTTTCGAAAAATTGCTGGAAATATGCATGTTTTAGGGAAATAGAGGCTTATTTGAGAAACCATGGCAGACTCCAGTACCGCCTCTTGTTGACAGCAAAGACATAGATGTACTTTATCCTTGCGATGATGAAGATAATGGGATAGTAACTGTTGCTTGGCGAGGACCATCTACCGTTTATGACATATATAATTTTATTGCATGCGATTTACTATTAAAATATCTTGCTGATACTCCAGTCAGTCTATTACAAAAAGAATTTCTTGAAATTGCTGATCCATATGCTAGTAATATTAACTACTTTTCTTATGAATATTCAGTATCTGTTCTGTGTCTTATATTTGAAAATGTACCAAAGTTAAAAATTTCACTCGTGAAAGATTTATTGCTAAAAACATTAAACGATGTGCATAAAAAAGGCATTGATATGAAACGAATGAAAACTGTTATTCATAGATGTATTCTTACAAGATTAAGTTGTTTGGAAACAGAACCTCACGATGCAATAGCATCTATGCTATTTAAGCATGTACTTTATGGAAGTACAAAAAAAGATGTAAGTATATTTTATGATATATTTTTCTTTCTTTGATAACATTTACATTGAAACAATATGTATTTTTTCTTTTTAATTTCAGTTAGATCAAAGATCAAATCAAATTAGAGATCTCAAGAAATTAGAAACAGAATCAGAGTCTTATTGGTTGAATCTTTTAAAAAAATATTTGCTTGACTCTCCACTAGTAATTGTTAAAGGAATTCCTAGCTTAGAGAAACAACACGAATTAACTGAGAAAGAAAAGGAACGTGTAATTAAACAAGTTAATGATTTAGGTGAGGAAGGTCTTCGTTTGAAAGAAAAAAAACTGGAAGAAGCTATTGCTGAAAATAATGTGTGTACCGTTTAAGAATCCGAACGTATAAATATTTACAACTCCTGTTTTTAACATTTCAATTCTATACATTTTAAGGTACCTATACCTAATGAAATGTTGAGTTCGGTGCCTATACCAAGTACTGATCTTATTAGTTACCATCATATCAAAAGTTATACAACAGGATCTACTGAACAAGATCCTAGATTTATTATAACAGAGCAACCATTTTATACGTATCTTGATCACGTTAATACAAATTTTGTGTATGTATGTGTCAATGTATTATACAATCATATTTAAAATTAATTATTCTGTAATGTAAATAATCATACAAAACTTTTCAGATGTATGTTATTATGAATACATGCTCTATCGAAAGGAAATATAGACCTTACATTCCATTATTACTCGAAGTTATTATGGAGAGTCCAATAAAAGAAAATGGACAACTCATTCCACACGAGGAAGTAGTGGCTGAATTAGAAGCAGATACTGTAGAAACTGCGACTGGACTTGGAGTTGATAGGTCTTCCAGATTTTCATGTGGATCATATGGCTATAGTGCCACTTTGATGTTGCATGTAATCAATACATTTTTATGTATAATTTTAATACTATCATTATTACAATTACTGATTACATCAAATGATTATTTTCATTGCCTAGCTGGAAATAGAAAAATACGAGAAAGGTGTGCAATGGATCAAAAGATTGTTATATGAAACCGAGCTGACAGTTAACAGATTAAAAATAATATCCACTAAAATGGTAAACGATGTAGCTCAACTCAAAAGAAAAGGACATAAAGTTGTAGGTGATTTGATGAAAGGATTATTATACAACAAGGGTAAGAAATTACTTTCTGTAAAATCATATACTTTTACTACAGCTATTATATTTATTTCTTTTAACTTTTAGACAGCAATCAATTTACGTCCAGTATGCTAAGACAACAGAAATTTCTTAATAATGTCTTGGATCGTTTGAATAATGAAAAAGAACAAAAGGAAGTTATATCAGAAATTGAAGTTGTCAGAAAAGCTTTAACAACGCCTAAAAATATGGTATTGTACATGGCAACTAATGTGGACAAGTTGACTCATCAAATTCCAGATGTGCACACTTCGTGGAAAACTCACTTTTCTGAATTAGATACATCAAATAAAACAAAGTAAATATAATTTCTGAAATTTTTACAGTTCTTAATTACGTTAATACACATATTCTAATTGTATAACTTAATCGCATAGGCTCGAAATTATATCAGATTCGACGTTCATAAATCCCCTACAAGAAATCCCAATTAAGGGATGTGTTACAGGATTAGGTTGTATAGAATCTTCATTTTTATCTCAAAGCTGTCAATGTATAAATAGTTACAAACATCCAGATTTAGCGCCATTAAATGTCTGTTTACAATACTTAACTCAGTTTGAGGTATGTAACACTATAGTTACAGTGTTATACAGGTTATATAATTATTTGAGAATAAAATCACATTTTCCATAGGGTCCCATGTGGAAACTTATAAGGGGTCAAGGACTTTCATATGGATACAATATCTATGCTAATGCAAATGAAGGTTTGTTGTATTTGTCATTTTATAGATCAACAAATATTGTGGCAGCTTATAAAGAAGCTAAATCGATTGTAGTAAGTATATATTTCTATACTTAAAGAATTGAACTTATAGCTTTTATTTAAATATTAACCCTTCGATCTTTTTTATTACAGAATATACATATTTCTGAAAATAAATGGGAAAAATTACTTTTTGAATCAGCAAAATCTTCTTTAATATTTGAAATTATTAAAAGAGTGCAGAGTGTAGGTGACCTGGTACAGCATTCGTTAGTGTCTTATTTTAAAAATGTTCCTCATAATTATACGCAACAAATGGTGCAACGCATATCTGCAGTAACAATTGAGGATATGGGTCGCATAGCATCTAAATATTTGACACCATTGTTTGATCCAAAAGAATGTAAAACAACAATTGTTTGCCATCCATCTAAAGCACAAGAAGTAGTTGATGCATTCAAGAGGTAAGTAAATAAACTGCATATTGGTATACCTTAATATGTATGTACTTACGAATATTTATATATTTTAAAACACATTTAGTTGAATTCCACAACGACATTTACATTTATAAATACATTTTTTTACAGTTTGAACCATGATCTTAAACTATATAACAGTCTTGAAGAAAACTACTTAAATGATTGGTAACTTGAACACATCAACTTGTTCACTATTTTCTACCACATAAATATTATACTGTTTCTAATCAAATCATTGTTATCACAAGCAACTACATACATTTTTACTCATTCAAGAATAGCTTGCTAATTCACTTTTGTAAGTTAAAATAAAAATTTAATATCTATTTCAATTTAACCATGTCTATTACTAACGTTTAATACATTAGATACTTTTGTAAAGTATAAAATATAAAATTTAAACTACAACAAAACTCGATGTTTCTATATATTTCTATAACCTTTTTCTAAAATTATAACATTAAGCATACTTAAAAGAATTAGTAATAGTAATACGAAGTAAGAATGTGTGTGAGAACATACAAATCAATAATGTGTGTGTGTGTGTGTGTGTGCGTGCGTGCGTGCACGCGCGCAGTTATTCTTAGCAATTTATATTTACAGTAATATGAATGTTATGATACAGAAATATTTTCTATTTCTAATGATGATACACCTTTTTGTTTAATTGGTGAATAAACTCCACCATAAATCTGTAAACCAAGCATTGTAATATTTCCAGTATCTAATGGTTCTGCATCAGATATTTCTCGTCCACGATAGTATGCTTTAAAATTTTCCAGAAGTAATGTTACAGTTGAAAATGTAGTATTTGACATTGGTGCCTATATTAATAAAATTTATATATTGATCCTAATTACAGTATGATTAAAATATTTTAAAAATAAAAATAGTAACATAACTAATTAGTGACAATTTTTCTATACATTATTTAAAGTAATGCAACCACAATTTACCATAAAAATTTGTTCATATGTTATATCTTTGTCTGTGTGAAGATTTTTATGTCGTAGAACAATTTTGTAATGGTCATTGCTACCTTGTCCTCTACATAATATTTCAATACCCTTAAAATTGGATAAGTTCAAATTTGTTCTTTTTCGTATTCCTGCAAAACCAGCTCCATTTGCTTGTGGATTTAAAAGTGTAAAAAAAATGGCTCGTTGAAAAACTTGAGTAGTTTGCAATACCAAAACAGCTTTTGACATTCCTACTGTTCTTACAGTGTCAGAAATTTCCAACCAATCATTTATATTGTTTATAGTTGTAAAATCAACAAGTATTTCTTGAGATCTAATAAAATATTTATAGAAAAATAGAAATTTTAAATATAAAATTTATATTTTGAAATTTACTGCATAAATATTATTTTTATACACATTTATGTATTTTTCAAACATTGTACATGGAAGACATTTTCATATTTTATTGTCACAATTCGAACGATTGTTTCAGCGTAAACAATGCTAGTTAAAATGTATATAAAATTGTATACATTGTTAAAAGATAAAACCATTGTACATAAGTAATTTAAAAGAAGCCAATAATGGGTGGTGTAGAATAAAATTTGTCATATATAAAAATAAATGACTCACCCTTTCATCATAGGAAGCACTATCAAAAATGAAAATAATTCAAAGATGAAATGAAAATTCATGTTATTATAAAAATTAAGAAATAACATGCGTCTTAGATTGCGTTACGTTTTATTTGCATCATTTGTTTCATGAGTTTCATTGAAGTCAAAAACATAGGTGCGGAACTCACGAATGATGATTACGTAATAAAATTGGCGCTAGAAGATTGAAATATGTATTGCATATCAGTATGAATTAAAAACAATGTTTATTTTTAAGTTTGGTTTATAAAATAATGTTATTTTATTAAGGCCGGGAAAGTAACAATTCTGTCTTTCGAAACATATTAAAACGTGCTAAAGCTCATATGAGATGAAAAAAATTTAATTTGCAAAAATGAAAGTTACATAAAACAATAAATATAAAACGAAATAATAGAGCACTAAGAACATGTAAAACGTTCTCAACTCAAGATCAAACTTTATTTATTCATTGTTTTAATATACCCATAAATATTATTAAAAATATATTATATAAAGAGAAAAGTAAAATGACTTTGTACATCATCCTTCACTACCATATTACAGTAAAATAAATCCATAATTACATGATATGATATATTTAAAAAATAACGAAGTAAAATGTGACTATTAGTAAATACTTACCTAATACTCTTATTCCATATAGATTATAGGGTTCTGCCGAAATTATTGATAACATATGAATCTTAAGACATTTGTTTTATTAGTAAACAAAAGAAGTTGGTATATTTGTTATATTTAGGATCAAAATGTGTACTTCTGTTCCAAATAATTTATATAAATGCACAAGGTGTGCAGAAGAAGATAGATTAAAAATTGTAAAACGTTTAAATATGGAGTTATAACATGCATTTAATAAAAAACAAACATTTGTTTTTATGTCACATACTGATTTGTAGAATATATATTGTATTACGTTTGTAATGATAAAAATTTGTTTAAAAGATAAATTAAATATAATTGTACAATACATTAAATGGAATGTACTTGTATTTATTATTTATTAATGTTTCGTTAACAATAATTAATTCCAGTTCTTTAATTAAAAATAATATAAATAATAGTAGATTACT